AAGTGTAAAGAACTTGTACGCATTTCTTAATACGGACTCCATATCGTGAACCGTGGCTATGGCTATGGAAGTGTAATGTAACATGCATCATGGGAGCAGTGTTGATAAAACAAACAGAGCGTCATTTTGTTATTTTAGAATCTAGAATTTCCTCAATGTGATTTTTTGTGTTGATTAGATGTTTTCGGAAGACAACATTATAATCATTATAACGGAGCCACGTGCGCATTCTTCTATAGTCATCATAATAATAAATCCGAACCGTGACCACAATAATTCAAACCACAGGTATGACGATCGGTAGTTACTCGATATTTCAATAGCAACAGTCTGTGAATAGTTCTATCCTTTTTTAACGGGCAAAAAGCATTTTTTTAGCATTTCCGATAGGATTTTAGTTTGATTTCGTTGAAGATTTCATGTATTCTACGATTTATTAGCACCGAGGTGTGTGTGTGTTGTGTGTGTGTGCGTGCGTGCGTGCGTGTTGTGCATGCATTCGTGTGTGTTGTGTGTGCGTGCGTGCGTGTTGTGCATGCATTCATGTGTGTGCGTGTGTGTGTGTGTGCGTGCGTGCGTTCGTGCGTGCGTGTTGTGCGTGCGTGCGTGCGTGTTGTGTTGTGTTGTGTGTGCGTGCTAGTATGTGTGTTGTGTGTGCGTGCGTGTTGTGCGTGCATGCGTCCGTGCGTGTGTGTTGTGTGTGTGCCCGCGTGCGTGTGTGTGTGTGTGTGCGCGTGTGTTGAGGGGGGGGGGGGGGGGGGGGGGCGGGGGGGGGGGGTATTATTACTAACGTCATGCTGTTTACATGATTGATCCGTGATCATCTAATCATGTAAATACCCTGCTATGCTCACATGGCATTACTTGTAGTGCTTTGTTCACCTTACTATACGTTCGGTAGCCATATAAAAATATCCTTAAGGTGACACATTCAAACCCCTCTTTAAGGTGTCATAAACACGTTGATCTCACGACAATGTTGAAAACGATCGATTGCAAAAAGAACGTGCTGCATGACTACGGCAGGAAAGGTCGCGTTTCCTCTGACAAAGGTCACACGTCGCATGATATACGTGCTTTGGTTCTTAGCCAGCGTTGTCAGTGAGAATGGATGACAGGAGTGTATATTTCCTGATCTGCATCAAAACGTTCAAGCTATGCTCTTACTGTCACATGAGGATGACATCAATGACAGACAGAAGCACGCTGCTATTGTTAGAGCAGTATATTATAATACGTCTGACAATGACACGGCGATAGCTGATAGGACATGATGCCAGGATGAATAATTCCGGCTAGAGGTCAGTTGAAACAACGCTCATTGAAGTAGCTCAATATGTAGTGTTTCATGCATGGTATGTAAGCCTTAGGAGGTGAGGTAAGGTGAGGTGAGGTGAGGTGAGGTGGGGTGAGATGTGGTTTAACGTCGCGTCCAAGATTATTGCACTTATATAGGGACGTGCATGCACGTGTGTGTGTGGCTGCTTGTACTCGTCCGGACTGATGCCGATTTATAGTGCTAGCCGCTGAGATACCATGCAGCAGTTTAACATGAATACCCCACTCCGACACAAGACTCCGAGCGAATCAGTCCTTGTTTTAGACCATTAATGCCGAGGGTCAGGCAGGGTAACAACAAGTACCGTCTTTTAACGTCTTTTGATATGACGCGACCGGAGATCGAACCCCGGACCTTCCGCTCTCCGGGCGGACGCTCTACCACTAGACCACGGAGGCGGTCTAATGTTTAGGAAGATGTATGGCTTTGTTATGTGTTGTTTAAAGAGTTCGTGTCAACTGCATCCAATTCACATACATCACTCTCGCCAATAAATGACATTATATAAAGATGACAGATTGAGAATGGCTGTTTCTCGTTATCTGTTTATAACTTTACATATGTTTACCACAATGTATTATGACAGAATGTCACTGGATTGTCTGGTCCAGACTCGATTGTTTACGCCCGCTGACGTGTGACAGGAGTATTGCTGGGTGCAGCGTTAGGCAATAAACAAACACTTACTTTTGTGTGAAAATTGTGTGAGTGGCGGGTGCTACCCGTCGAGCAGGACATGCTTACCCTTTAGCGCATACCTAGTGTCATCACTGATTTTCAGAGATCCATTCATATAATGTTTCATCCATTGTTTTGTCTTTTACGCCTAAAGATATCTGTTTCGACAGATAATGGAGACTGGTTATTCTCTGGCGTTGCTGTTTTTTTGTTTTTAAAAAAAAAATTAAACAGCAACTATTTGGTATTTTCTATTTAAATATATGTGGCCATTTAAACTATTTACGTTTTGGGATCCATTGTGACTTGGTAAATTCATATATCAACAATTGTTCGTCGTGCGAGGCGACCAAATGGATCGGGTGCCAAGCTCTGTTAGCTTTGATGATTGCGTGTCATCGTATCCCGACTGCTTGGGACGTTACTCATAATATCAATCACTATGTGGTCTGGCCCAGGCCCAGGCCCGATTACTTGCGGAACGCCGTCATGTAGCTGCAATATTGCTCAGTGCAGTCGTACATCTCATATGGGAACGTTTTGTTTTGTTTGTTTGTTTGTTGTTTAACGCATCACTCAGTAATATTCCAGCTATATGACGGAGACCTGTAAATAATCGAGTCTGGACCAGACAATCCAGTGATTGACATCATGAGCATCGATCCACGCAATTGGGATACGATGACATGCATCAAACAAGTCAGCGAGCCTGATCACCCGATCCCGTTAGGTATAGTCGCCTTAATGGGAACACACATAGTGGGACATTTCACCTTAACTTGCGTATGGAACACAAAGATTACTTGGCAAAATTAGATTTTTTTGTGATTATCATTTTTTAATTAACACTTTAGAAAACATGATAATTATTAATAAAGTGTCATATCGTTTCAAATTTAGGTCTATGGTAGAAATTAAATTTTAACTTTAACATTAACGTTTGTAATAACCAACAAATCATGTCTAGTTTTTAGCTGATATAATATATCTATTAAGTACCTGTTTGATGTTTACCATGTTTATTAAGATTCATAAAATTATTTTTGTAAATGTTTTTCACTTTTATCTATACTGTGATATGTCCCTTGCAGTATTATTTTGAATGTTGTTGAATATTTAGTTTGGTGTTACAGCGCATGTTTCCCGTAATAGGCAACTAACGGGATCGGGTTGTCAGACTCGCTGACTTAGTTGATGCTTGTCCGATTGTGTAGATCGATGCTCATGATGTCAATCACTGAATTGTTTGGCACAGACTTGATTATTTATAGACCGCTCTCATACACCGTGACGTTAAACAACATAACAAAATATATACTTTCCATCGGAGAAGTGATTAATGAAAAACGCTGTTAATCTTAATGCGTTCTATTATTATGACTGTATTGACCTCCTTAACGGACCTCTCACCTGGTCACCTGATGTCCTCTGGTCAGTAGTGATCGATTGCGTATTGTCAAATGTCAAGCTTCATATATATATAAATATATAGTTTAGCCTCAGTTCAAAGTATGGTCTATCGATCGACGACAGCCATCGTTGTGCCCAACCATGGAATTACTGACCAATGTAAGTTTTAGTGTCATTCTTTATATATTCGTGTTGTGCTATCTTGTTATATTCGTATTATACGTATAGTACATGGAGTAGTCAGTAACAATCCAAAGGAATTAATGTCCTAGGCTAGGCACTAATGTCCAATCAGTGTAGCTTTCTGCTCTCGCCATAATGCAGTACTCATTAGGAAACAATGTGTGCGCCAATCCATATTAAATCTATGAGGTGCAGTCCTTTATATGTTTCCGAGATGAACGCATCACTGTAAGTAAAACCAACGACGATCTGTACGGTATTTGTCCGTCTTAAAAGTTCTAAAAATTCTAAATAAGTTCCAAATAAGTTCTATATTTATCTCATAGAGTACCGCAGTATGAGCGAAAATAAATTCTTGTTAAATGTACCTTGAATTAGTACGTATGGTGAAACATACATCATTAGAATATGCCAGCTGATTCTGTATATGTCAACTCATCGATCGTTTAGTCCCCAGCAAATTATAGTATTTTACGATTATTCCTTCATATTTAGATGCACTAGAAATATACGTTTTTATATTATATTTCACAGTGGATGTATTAACATTAACGAATAAATTACTCAGTGAATGAAGTAAACGAATAGTGTGGGCAATGCTCGATCCTATTAGAACCATCTATTATGTATAATTGAAACTTTTGAAAAATATAGATTTTTGACAAAATGTTTCCATTTCATTACCGTAATCACGAGACATTTCTACACTTCTAATGAAACAGGAGGAAGCATGACATTGCAGTACAGCCATGGCCGGCCTTGTCTCCCGCATGATACCTGACAATATGTTCATGGTTACCATGAACATATTGTCAGGTATCATGCGCTGTTACCATGAACATATTGTCAGGTATTATGCGCCGTTACTATGAACATATTTAGCGGTATTATGCGCCGTTACTATTATGCGCAGTTACCATGAACATATTGTCAGGTATCATGCGCTGTTACCATGAACATATTGTCAGGTATTATGCGCCGTTACTATGAACATATTGTCAGGTATTATGCGCTGTTACCATGAACATATTGTCAGGTATTATGCGCCGTTACTATGAACATATTGTCGGGTATCATGCGCCGTTACTATGAACATATTGTCAGGTATTATGCGCCGTTA